TATACTTTCTCTCCTCTACTAGTTTCTAATTTGTTAGTGTTCATTCTAGATACAACTCAGACAATCCCCTTAAACATTTACTCCTTGGCTCGGTGCCTGTGGCTCAAGTGGCTAAGGCACCAGCCACATATACCTAAGGTAGCAGGTTCAAATCCAGCCCGGGCCTGCCAAACAACAATGATGGCTGCAACCAAAAAATGGCCAAGTGTTGTGGTGGGCGCCTGTGGTCCCAGATACTTGGGAGGCTGAGGCAGGAGACTCACTTGAGCCCAGGAGTTGGAGGTTGCTGTGAGCTGTGATGCCATGGCACTCTACCCAGGATGACAGCTTGAGGCTCTGTCTCAAAAAAAAAAAAAAAATTTACTCCTTAATAAGGCCTCAATAAATGTCAAATGTTATCTTAACTAAAGAAATGGAAAGTGTTCTAGCACATTAGGTAGTAAAGTAATGACACGAAAATCTCTTTAAATAACAAGGTAATGTCAAACATGTCAGAGGTTTGCACATTTTCATCAACTGCAAACTATACAAATACCCACACAAGAGGGACAGGTAGGTGAGCGGTAAGAAGCAGCAATGGGAAGAAGGGAGAGGACCGACTCACTTTCCTGCCACCACTGGGTCCTAGGAATGGCCATCTCCTTTTCTTTATCACCCTCTTTCATAAGTAAGATACAGAACTAAAGAGGAAACACTGGGCTGAACTACAATGAAACGGTAGTGATCCAAACCACTAGGAAAGGCTGATAATTTCCTCTCTAATGCAGAATTATATGAAATTCTAAGTCACACAGTCATCTCCAGACAGCACAGAAGGCATTCACCCCAAAGGCACTGGAGCCTCAAACAAAAAATTACAGAGCAAGCAGAGCTGTTAAGTTCCTCCTAGTATTCAGTAAATACAAATAATTTCCTTAGATTTCCAAGCCCTAAAAGGAAATTTATCTTTCTCCTGGCCCCATTAAATCAAAAGTCCCATTCATACATAGAGGCAAATTTCTTAGCTGTGGCATCAGTCAGTGTTTATACTAATTAAGCCCACATGATGGTCTCCTGTTTTGATTGTGGGGCAAGATAACCTGAAAATAGTAAAAGTAACAATCATAGACAAGAGGCAGAGGGATCATGTCACTATACAAATTAATAAGTACAGGTGATGATGGGCTCCTATTTTGATTGTGGGGCAAGATAACCTGAAAATAGTAAAAGTAACAGAGATAAGAAGGGTGAAAAGAGTACAGAAAACTGAAACATTGTCTCTCTCTCTCTCTTTGTAAACAGTTTCTATTCTCATGTATCTTTTTCTCCCTCTTTCAACACACTTGCTCCTCTTCCTTTTCAATTTAAGGCTTAAGTATGTTTTCTTTAATCAGTTGTATTTATCTATTTATTGAGCAAATATTTATGTATTAAGTACCCACTATGTACCAGATACTACACTGAAGGACAAACAGGAGACAGACTCCCTACCCTCACAGGGCTCCAATCTAGTGAGGAAGGTAGGCTATTAGATAAGCAGCAAAAGGATGTAAGAAAAAAAATTTAAAACTTGCAAAGACACAGACACACTGTGTAGAAATAAAATTGTAACTTGCTCCTTAAGAGAGAGACTAAAAGACTGACTGAATGTTTAGACTCTTTCTCACTCCACTTTCTATTTCCTGATATTCAGTTTCCTTTTTCTAAAGTTGTAACAGAGGCAAAAAGGTTTAAAAAGAGTGAAAATGTTTTATGTGTTATCTCTTTAAAACCCCCTCACTCTTTTATTAAAACCTCCATCCCGGCTCGGCACCTGTGGCTCAAGCGGCTAAGGCGCCAGCCACATACACCTAAGGTGGCGGGTTCGAATCCCCAGCCCGGCCCGCCAAACAACG